ATAATAATTAGTGTTGCACACAATTTTGTGTATAGTTTAGAAAACAACATAAAAAATAAATGCTTTGGTAGTTCCAGACTTTACTTTAAGCAAGGCCTCTTATTGGCTTTGAATAATTATTGCAACAATTCTTTTGGCAAAAGCTTTTGCCTGGTTAAGCCAGTTTATCTCGAGCCCCTTCAAAATAAAAAATAAAAATAGAGAACCTTTTTGCATAGCCCTGGCACTACATGACGTTTGTCCTCCATACGCATCTTATTTTTATTTGCAGTTGAGATAGTTGCAAAAGCAAAACAATTTTAAAAATACTGGGATTACTTTTTAAAAGGGAAGGCATTATATTTAGGTATTTGCTGACAGTGCTGCTTAAACACTTAGTAAATTGAGCAAGCTATTCAAAAACCTTTATTGGCATATACTGTACAGAACACCTAGTCCAAAAGTACATTCAGTAAAACTTGTTTGCAACATTCTGGAACCATATCAAAGTTTTGTTCAGATTCAATGTAGTTTTTCTATTTATGCCGCAAGACGAACTCTCCACCCTATTCTATGTACCTTATAATAATAATAATAATAATACCGTAATTAAAAAAAAATTATTGTCGTAATTAGCCCAGTGATTACATCAGAAGATCCATACACTTGGCTCAAGGAGGGAGTACTGGTTCAAATTGTGCTCTTTTTGGCCTGTTCACTATGTTTGCTAAGAAGCACACTACTTTCATTTAATGGAAAACACATTGTGTCTATATCCAACCACCCACTTACCTTAAGCAATACTGGGCCCAGTTACTGAGCGTGGGGTTCAGAATAGCAAGGACAATATAAACACATGCGTACTACCAGCAACTCAATTCCTCCCAGTTCACAAGAGCAGTTCCTCTCATTGTAAGGAATACCTTAAAATCTGCCAGATAATACTGCTGAAGGCATTACATAAAATCTGGCCAGGGAATAGGCTCTGTGCTTTTGAGGTGATTGTGATAGATGATAGGATAGGGCCCTCTGGCCCTGCCTAAACAGGAATCAGGTGGCTTAGGGGGGAACTGGTCTTATTTGCTGCACTTGGGAGATCCTGGAATTCAATATCTAATATCCTGAATTTAATCAGATGAAAATGCTTCCTATTCCAGAACCTTTTGTTGAATTCCTGAATTGCAGGGCATAGAGAGAGGTAATATATGGCTATGGCTATTTAAAAAAAAATCAAAACTTTTTTAAAAAAAGAGTCAAGTATAATGGTGTCTCGCTAGACAACGACCTCGCTGAACGATGAAACCGCAGGGCGATGGCTTTTTTGTGATCGCAAAACAATGTTTCCTATGGGGTATTTTCGCTTTACGTTGATTAGGTCTTTGCTTCGCGAACCGTTTGTTCGCAAAATGACAATTTTTCCGGCTCCGCAAAATGGCTTCCCTTCGCAAAATGGGTGTTTTCCGGACAGCAATTTAAAACAGCTGATCGGTGGTTCTCTGTGGGCGATCTTTGCTGGACAACGAGGTATTTCCCCATTGGAACGCATTAAACAGTTTTCTAGGCATTCCAATGGGTTTTTTTTCGCATGACGACGATTTTGCTGTACAGCGATTTTCCTGGAATGGATTATCGTCGTCATGCGGGGCACCACTGTATGTGATTCTCCGTATTATATTTCAAGTGCCAAGAATACATTTTCCAAATTGTAAACAAGGTGCCTATAATAAATGTAAAAATGATAAAACAAATGCTGCTCACCAACTCAAGACCGTCGGAAAGCTTTCCAGCGTTAGAAGTAATTTTAAAAAATAATTTTGGGGAGCTCAAATCCCAGTTTCTAGTCTTGGGAGCCTCTAGACGTTGACATGTTTGTTCACTTTGGTGAACTGCTGCGGGGGGGGGGGGGTCCCAGTCTCCTTCCTCCGAACTCAAAAAAAGGAAACAGGAATGAGCGGTCTGGGCACTTATCTTTCTCACTTTTTCCACGCAATGGTTCATTTGGTTACTTCGGGGGCCTGGTGATTTGGCCTTTGAGACTGCCCAAGTTGCCCACTCCACCAAGAACAAATAAAGCAGGACCCCAAAATGGTTCAGTCAACAGGGTGTCCAACACTGTCCACTCCAGCAGCTACTGAATGTTCCTCTAGATGTAGCTGTCTTCTGCAGACCACCTGGGTGTATGCCACTCCACGGTTCTTGTTCATTTGCTTCATTGAGCTGGCAATTCCTTTGATCTGGAAAACGGGCTGAAATCAAGCCAGTTCAACAGATAAATCAGCCTTCAATTCAATGGGTAAATCAACCCAGTCCACAGCTACAGGGAGAAGGAAAGGAGATGTTCCTCAGTTTCACTGTTCACATTAGGCCAAGCTGAATAAGAACTGAAATTGCGAACATTTTCCCATTAATTCTCCATGTTTCATCATTATCACGAGCAGCAGAAGTTTATTTTTTTTACCGTCAAAGTATTTTCTAAGTGTTCTTCGTGAAACAAGAGACTGCTTCTAATGTACTTTGATTATTCGATTGGAAAGTCAGTGTGATGTGTGCAACTGGGGCTCAGAAGTGTGTGTGTGTGTTTTGTGCGGTCAAGTCGGAACCGACTTACAGTGACTCTAATAGGGCTTTCAAGGTACTGTATTTTTCTGTGTATAAGACGCACCCCATGTATAAGATCCCCCCCCCACTTTTCTAATCTGAAATTAAGAAATCTTAAGTGGGGTTTAGCAAGTGTAGGGGGAAAGGGATCAAAATGCTGCAGGATCACTCTGATCCCTGCTTATACACGGAAGTAAGCTGAGGAGAGAACAAATACAAGTGGAGGGGAAAGCAGGGATCAAAGCAATCCTGCAGCGCTTTGATCCCTTTCCCCCTACACTGGCTAAGTCCCACTTAAATTTCTTAATTTGGATTAGAAAAGTGGGGGTGTCTTATACATGGGGGCGTCTTATACACGGAAAAAATACGGAACCTAAGAAATGCTTTCATCCAAAGTTGGAAGCAACTTGAAGGCATGTAAAAAAAAATCAACAACCGTCTTCAACAGGACATTTCAGGGGTGCACCAGCGCACCTTTGAGTAGGCTTTGCTACTATACCATTAGCTCATAGAGTGTGGGATTACATGTGACTCCTCGTTGTCTTTTCCCCTGTTCTTTTAGATGTCGGGAAGCCCCCGAGCATCCCCCTCCAAGCCAGCAGCTGGACTGTATCACGGCTACTGTACACTTTCTCAAGAACGCCCAGGAATACGGAGTGGACCCCCACCGCATTTCCGTCGGAGGGGACAGCTCCGGAGGCACGTTTGCGGCCACGGTTTGTCAGAGACTGGCTACCAGGAAAGACATCCCCAGGCTCCGGGCCCAGCTCCTCTTCTACCCTTTCCTCCAGGCTTTCGACTTCAACTTGCCTTCTTACCAGCAAAACGAGTCGGTGCCTCCCTTGTTCAAGAAACGGATGCTCAAATTTGGTTTGCAGTACCTGAACGAAGAGTTTAAAGATCTGGAAGGGATGATGAGAAATGCCCACGTTGCCAGGGAGATGGAGCCGAAATACAGGAAATGGATCCACGCCGACTACATCCCAGAAGAGTTTAAGGCGAGAGGCTACGTGCCGGTGGCCCCTGCGCCGTTTTCCGAAAAACTTCACGAGGCGATCAAAGTATGCCTTGAAGACGTGCTTTCTCCTCTTGTCGCAGAAGACGACGTCATCCGTGAACTCCCGGAGACTTTCATATTAACCTGTGAGTACGACGTTCTCAGGGACGATGGGCTGCTGTACAAGAAACGCCTGGAAGACAACGGGGTGCCCGTAACCTGGCATCATTCAAAGGATGGGGTCCATGGAATACTCTACCCCGTGGATTGTGGCCCGCTTCAGTTTCCAGACACGCAGCCAAGTTTCCATCACATCATCCATTTTTTGAAGCGCCTGTAGAATTAAAATAGCCTGTCTTTCTTCTATGGTGCAGAGAACAGGGCCTCTGAATTCGGTAGCTGAAACTGTTCGGAAAACTGGGAATAAGTTTGAATCCTTTGGAATGTCTAGACATCCAACAACTACACGAATTTGTCCAATGTTACACTGTTACACTGTTGATTCGGGGAAGATCAATAGGTAGAGGAGCTGATCTGCCAGGTTTCTAAATGAGACAAGGACTGGATCGTTTCTGGGATGGTTGCCATTCCACATGGTGCAACTTGGCATGTGGCCAGGTTTCCCTTCGCCTCTGAAGGCAGGAGGAGGGGACAAGAGGGTGGTGACGGTTCAGGCTGTCTGCTTTATAAGATCCTATATACAGAGGAAACAGCTAGCAGGGGAAAGTGTGTCATGCAAAATGGACCACAAAATATCCTGGTTATTTACAACATTTGCTGCAATGCATACATCTGGGTGGGGGCATTGTAATCCTCTAGGATCGCCCTAGGGGATTGTTTGCATCTTCTGTGCTTCCTATGTGCCCGTGTGCTTTACCTTTAAAGGGAAAAGACACCGGTTTTCCACAGAGGCAGTTCATGCAAATTACAGAGATCTCAAGAAGAAAAAAAAAATAACCCCACCTCACCCCTTTTCACCTTCTTCTTTGGAACCAAAGAATGTCTCAGGATTTGAATGTGCCTCGTCATGTCGAGACAGCTAAACCTGCCGGAAAAGAATAGATTTCTATTCTTTGCATCCTAATTCAAACCTCATGACATTTGATGATGAACAGGACTGCCTCAAGGGGTGGTGGACTCATTTTGATCAGAGGTTAAAAAGCCACTTGCCGGCGATGCTTTCCTGCATCAGGGTTGGGCTTGATGAGCATTGACATCTTTTTCCACTGCTCTGTTATTCCATGCATTTTAAATACTGCCTTCTGCCACTTTTCTTGCTGTGCCATTATTTATTCTCGTTGCTATTTTTCTTAAACATGAGAGAATTTTGCCTGGGATTGATGTCAGGCTGACTGGCCATGTTCCTCTTTTTTGCCCTTTTTGAAGACAGGGACCACATTAACCCTCCTCCCGCCCTCTGGCAGCTCCCCTGTTTCCCATGATTTCAAGAAAATAAAGGCTAGTGGTTCTGAGAGTCCTTCAGCCGTCTCCTTTAGTACCCTTTGGTGCAGTTCATCCGGTCCTGGAGATCTGAACTCATTCAAGGTGGTAAGGTATTCCTTGACTATTGGTTTATCCATCTCCAGCTGCAATCCTGTCCCCCCCCCCCCCATACTTACTCTTCCAATTTGTTTGGAAGTTCATCGTCTGTCTTACGGGAAAATACGGAATGGACCCCCTCTGCCTTTTCTTTGTCCTCTGTTCTCATTTTCCCCTATATATTGTAGAGCTGTGCCACGTCTTTGGCTTGTCATTGACAAAGTTGGAACCTCAAACGATGCCAAAGTTTTATACCAGTTTTGCGCCCCCTTTCCCCCCTAAAACCCATAGTTTGTGCCCCTATGCCACAGTCTATTTAAAACCTCACCACATAGGGTTCCTGTAACCACCCCAACGTTGTACACACTGTTTTGCAGGGGTACAAAATGTAGTACAAAATTGGTACAGTGGCGCCTCGCCCGCATGACAGTTTTTTCGCTAGACATTGGCCTTTTGCGATTGCTATAGCGATTCGCAAAACAGTGATTCCTATGGGGGAATTTCGCTGGACAATGTTTGGTCCCTGCTTCGCAAACCGATTTTCGCTAGACGGCGATTTTGACAGCTCCCTCCACGCTCACAAACAAGTGTTTTTGGGACCTAAGTTTCGCAAGACAGCGATTTAAACAGCTGATCGGCGGTTCGCAAAGCGGCTTTCCTATGGCCGATTGCTAGACAATGACGATTCTACCCCATTGGAAGGCATTAAACAGGTTTCAATGCATTCCAATGGGGAAATGCTTTTCGCTAGACAATGATTTCGCTTAACAGCGATTTCAGTGGAACGGATTATCATTGTCTAGCGAGGCCCCACTGTACAAAAGATAACAATTTCTACCATTTTGGAAAGGAAAGGTGTGAGACTTATTTTTAAACCATGAGCAAATTACTAGCTTTCCGCCTGGGTTGTTTGCAGTGGGGGGAAAACGCTTGATAAAATTCCAATAAAATCTAATAAAATAATAGCTACATTCTGGATGGTCATCATGATTCATTAAAGCAACCCTATATGTAGACCACTATCTTATCCTAAATCCCTGGTGAAATGGTGTGAGAACATTGCTCAGGTACTGAAATGGAGATAACGTCAGCTTACGCAGATGATGCTTACATTGTTACATCATGATGCTGAATCTTAATTGGGGGAGTTTAAACCACAGTGGGTGCCTCCGTATCTCTATATTACTGCATAGATTCTGTGCATGGCCAATGGCATGCTTAAATGTCGTGGACGTCCGTGACCTGCAGAACTGATCCCACGGTTTTGTTCCATTGCAGACATCACAAACAACCTTGAAACCGTCTTAGGACGGTTTTAGAGCAGAAGGGAAAACTCGTGTTGGCTTACTGGCTGTCCCGAGTCTGACCCTTGAGTCGCTGCCTCGCACCCCCCCAGGTTTGGGACCCAAAGACTCAGGCCTCCCCCCCCCCCCCCCCCCCCCCCCCCCCCCCTCCTTGCCACCGCCCACCATCTTCAGAGACAACAGGCTGGCTTCTGTTCCCAGAGCCAGCCCACCATCTCTGGGCATGTGCCGGCTTATCTGATGGCTTTGCGCATATGTGGGTGGGGGGCAGAAGGCCAGCTGTTGCTTCTCTTCTGGCTCTTGCTCCTTCAGGTGCCTTCGCCTTGTGGCCCCTCGCTGCTGCTCCTGCTCGACCACCCTGGCCTCCGCTTGGGGGGAGGGCAACGAACCCAAAAGGTTTGGGAACCACCCGCTCCAGCCGGCATGACAGGCCGCCCTCCTGAGGGCCGTCTGTGCCACAGGCAGGTGAAGGAACGATCGCCTGTCGTCCTGCAGGCATGGATGTGGTGCCAGAACTGGTCTGTTGCTGGGGAACAATGGTTTTTGAAGACTGGCAAAGCCACTGGCGCCCTCGTGCAGCCAAGAAGATAATTACAGAGTTAAAAGGGAGGGTGCCGGACAAATGGGCTTCTCGGGAGCAAAGGCTGCCACCTGATGTTTCATTTACTGAACTTCATTGAGACCTGCTTCTGAGTTGACATCGATATTATCATGTTGCTTTTCTGTCTCATGATAGAGATCAAATCCAAGCAGGGCTATCTGGAATGAAATCCCACCCACCAACATTGATTATCACCGCACCGAGAGCGCACCAATGTTACACGCCCGGGTATTCTATTAGCTTCTGAATGGGCGAGGTTCTCGCGTTTGGATAGATGGGGACATTTGCTGTTTTTGCACCTGGACCCGGCACTCACCATGGAGACTCAGGTGTCATCAGTGGTCCGTTCCGCACATTTCCACCTTTGGCTGCATCCCTATCTTGATATGCGAGCCTTCATCACCCCCCCCTCCACCTGCCCTGAATCAGGCTTCTTCCCTTCCGCCAGCTGCAGAGGATGGCCCTTTTAGTTTAGCAACAGATGCTCCAAGCCAGCTGATAAAGGGCACTTTCCTGAGGGCACCCATTTTATTGTTGTATCACTCAGAGGTCTGAAATTTCCAGGTCAAGTTGTTATGATGGATGGACAGCCCCACAGGCAACGTTATCCATCCGAAGAATGACTTACAGGGGCCGTTGGGGCACTGTAGGGTGAGTCCTGTCCTCCATCCTACGTGGTTGGGGGTGACTGATCTGCATTACGCAGTCTGATCAACCCCGACACTGTCCGAATTATAAATTAAGATATCAAATGAGATGTGGGTCTGTATTATTTCCAAAGCTTGTTTCTTCATGTAAACCACATAACTCATTCTCCTTTGCTTCTCCTGTTGTGAAGCGCCTAGAATAGCGCATTGTATTAATGAGGCAGTAAACAAACAAACAAACAAACAAACAAACAAACAAACAAACAAATAAATAAATAAATAAATTTTGTTAAGCACCATATCCTAAAGTGACATTTTGTAAACCTCTGTGAAGACAACTGTTCCTTACTCCCTCCCTCCCTCCCTCCCTCCCTTCATTCATTCATTTCTGTACTGCCCATTTAAGCAATGATATCTTTGGGCAGTATACAAACAATCACATGATATGAAAACAACATAAGATAAAGGTAAAGGTTCCCCTTGACATTTAGACCAGTCATGTCCGACTCTAGGGGGCGGTGGTCATCCCTGTCTCCAAGCCGTACAGCCAGCATTTTGTCCGCAGACAGTTTCCATGGTCACGTGGCCAGCACGACTAGATGCAGAACGCTGTGACCTACCCACTGTGGTGGTACCTATTTATCGACTCGCATTTGTACATGTTTTCGAACTGCTAGGTTGTCAGGAGCTGGGACAAGTGACGGGAGCTCACTCCGTCAGGTGGATTCGATCTTACGACAGCTGGTTTTCCAACCTTGCAGCACAGAGGCCTCTACGGTTTAACCCGCAGCGCCACCACATCCCATAAAAGCAACATAATTAAACCCAAATTAAATTAAAAATGAAGCAGGCGGAAGGCTCGGAGATCAATGGGGCCTGAGGAAAAGGAACAAGGAGAACAGCAAGGTGAAGGCGGGGTGGACGCAAAGGGAGAAAGTGAAGAAAAGGGAAGTCCTAAACCTTGGAGAAAAGGAAAGACAAAGACATAATCTGGACAATAAGAGTTTATGGCAACAATATTCATGGTAACAAGGTTAAGTAAGATCCTTAGAATTTAAAATAACAGAAAGTTTAAAGGGGAGTTGTGGGGAAAGAATGTAATAATAATTGATAATTTGAGGAGGTTCAGTACGGGGGAAGGAAGGGGGAGAAAGATGATGAAAGGAAAGGAGAAATGCTAGAATAATTAAAATAGTTAGCCGGGGGATGCAGGATATAGTTAGGTTTAGAAAGAACTAGCAAATACATGGGTATAATCTGAGGTTAGATAGGTAATTACATGGATTTATAATCAATTAGTCAAGTAGAATAAGTTGCCTGAATAAGTTTATAAGGTCATGTGGTTTTTCTTTCTTTTACCAAAATGTCATCAAAATGAGGCCTTCCATAATGCCTTGAAATATCCCAGGGGCTACCCTGGTATCAAACTGTAATCGCTTACCTTAAAAGCCCCCCTGTGTCTTACGATTGTTTGTGCCTCTGTGATGGCATCATCTACTGGTAATTGTTGATAAGCCTGGGCCAGATCAAGCTTTGCAAAGATCTTTCCACCATCCCGCGATGCCAGATGATGACTCACTATTGGCACCGGATATGCGTGCTGTTATAATGCCTGATGAACAGTTCATTTGTAATCGGCGCAAATCTGCACGGCCCCATTTGCCTTAAGAAGAGTAACAATCGGTGTCTCCCATTGATCATGGGGCACTGACTCTAGGATCCCCTGAGCTATCACCTGATCCAATTCTTCATCAATTTTAGGCTTAATGGGACCCAACATACCTTTAAACAGATCGGGGCCACTGTTGGGTTCAAATTAAACGAAATAGGTGGCCCATTGTAACTCCCCAAAGATCCGTCAAACGCTGCTGCAAACCCCTTATACACGTGTTATTGTTAAGCACATAGGGCTAAATTCAATTGCTAGACTCAACAAGAGTAGATTCATGGAATTGAGGATACTTACCAGGTGTTGACTTCTTAAGTTCCATTTACTCAAGTTGTTATATCAGTAACAGGTAACCGATGAAATTGATACACGAGATATAATGGTGGTTTCTTTTTAAAGATCTAA